GGTGAACAGACTAGCAGGGGCTGGAGGAGGCTGCCATTCACAGGCAACCTAGAGAGCCATCCACAGAAAGAGAGAGAAATAAAGCAGCAGCTCCAGAGAGGAACAGAAGCAAAATCTATCTAGAGACGTGGGAATAAGACCAGGGGCAGGGCTGGGTGAGCCGGGACTGCAGCCTGGTCTCCTCATGAATACACCCGTGTCTGCTGTTTGGTTCCACACAGAAGTAGCCCAGAACCCGTGTGGACAAGGGAAGTGCAGGGACAGCTGTTCAAGAAGGCAGGGTGTGGAGCGGCCGTCACTCTTGCGGCTCTGAGAAGGCTCCTGGTTGGATGATCCATGGCCACGCTCTCCACTAAGTCACCAACTACGTATGGCTCTACCAACTTGTTTCCACTAGTTAGAATGAAAGCCCCGGTTTCTCAATCATTGGAGCCACACTTTGTGGTTACAGAGCACGGTTGCTTTCTTGCAGAAGCTCCCTCTGCACAGTGCTGGTCTAGATGGGCAGAAACTGGGAGCTGAGTTGCCGGCTCCGTTCGCAAAGGGCCTGTGAGTCTGCCTCACGGGTGCGAGTTTGGCTCTCTAGCTCCCACACAGAAGCTGGGCAAGACAGCACACGTCTGTAAGCCCAGAGCTGACAGAGCAGAGACAAGTGGGACCTTAAAGTCTTTTGGCCTGCCAGCGTTGTCAAGTGAGTGAGTTCCAAGTTCAGCAGGAGAGTCCGTCTTTAAAAATTAAGATGGAGGACTGGGGTGCTGGCTCAGTAGCACTGCTCTTTCGAGAAGGCCCAAACTTGGTTCCTAGCACCCATTTTAAGCAGATCACAACAGCCTGTGACTGTAGCTCCGGGGGGAATCTACTGCCTCTAAGCTCCATGGGTATTTGCATTCATGTGCACGAACCCACATAGACACACACTCATGCACGTACACACAGACAAAGAGACAAAGACAGATTTAAAAAGGAACTTTAAAAAATAAGTTGGAGAGCAGTTAAGAAAGACACCTAATGACCATAGTGCATGCATATCTCCATGCACACCTGTGCACACCCACACATACAAACATGAACATACAGCATGAATGCAATGCACACACAAGGGGCTTGGGGTGGAAAAAGCGCCAAAACATCCATCTCCTGCTCCTCTCATCCATCCGATCTCTGTTAATGTAAAATAAAATGAGGTTGTTTTAGCTTTACTCTCGGCTACAGCGATTATTGCTTCTAGAGTAAACCAGGGCGTCTTGAAAACTCCTAACCCAGTCTGATTATTCCTGGCCAGTTCTTTCTTGTCAGGCTCCCCAGGCTGATTGTTTCTCCCCATTACTCATGGCGTTTCCAACAGAAAAGCTTCATTTCTCATTTCTTCCTGGAGGCCACAAGCCGTGTGTTGAGCCCGTCTTTACTGGCTAGGTTTCCTAAGCCCAGTTGTATAGCAGGCGAGCTTGCAGCTTCAACTAGCTGGAAACAAGTTTGGGCAGCCTGCCAGTTCCTTCCTAGGACTCCCTGATAGCACTCGCTTCCTCCACATCACGAGCATTCGTGTAACTGTAGAATCCCACCATGCTCAACTGCTTCCCCTGCCTCGGCTCGTGCTTGGGCTCCTCATCCCGTAGCTTCCGTAAGTGACCGCTGGGCACCCTACTATCGCTCAGTGTTTCCTTCCCGACCTAAAAATCTTCTTTGAGAATGCTAGGCCTGGGAGAGGCGAGAGGCTGGGGGGAATACCGAAGGGTTTTCTTCTCTTGAGGGATTGTGTCTCACCACGAGTGAGCACATCACGGTCTACGGGAGAGAGTGACACAAAACCATAGGTGAACAGGAGCCTGTGTGCTAGGTGTTTGGATAGTGCACTCATTGCTTTATATTGCTGTGAAGAGACGCCACGCTCAGTTTGTAGAAAAGCGTATTGGGGCTTACGGTTTCAGAGGGTGAGTCTATGACCATCGTCGTGGCACACAGCATGGCAGCAGGCAGGCAGGGATGGTGCTGGAGCAGTGAGTAGCTGGGGCCTTACATCCTGATCCACAAGCAGGATGCAGAGAGAGAGAGAGTCAACTGGGAATGGCATGGGTGTTTTGAAACCTCACATCCAATGCCCAGAGTGATACATTCTTTCCAACAAGGCCATACCTCACAATCTTTTTCAAACAGTTCAACTAACTGGGGACCAAGAATTGAAACCTGTGAGCCTATGGAGGCCATTCTCATTCAAACCATCACAGATAGGGCAAACTGGGTGAAGAAGCCTCAAAACAGTTGGCCCACAGGAAGGAGGAGGAATCTATTTATAGCTTCCCACGATTCCTGCCCAGTGTATGAAGCCCTGTCTGAAGCCATATTCTGGCAAAGGTCTGCTTTCCATGAAACCCCATATCAACCACTGAATGCTTTGTCTAAATCATGAAAGTGCTGCCTCTCTTTTCTCCAGTTCTCTCTGCCTGCTGGACCCTAAACCCATACAGCCTTGATGTTGGAGTCTGCTCCACCTCCAAACCACAGACCAATCCAAGTCTGCCTCAGTCAGTAACTGCCACACTTTCCACGGTCCTAATCTTCTGGTGGTTGCCACCGACCTTTTCTTCTCTGGCAGCTTCGGTGTGCCCCCCCAGCCTCCGACCCAATACTGATATAGCCTTCCTGCCTCTCAAATACTCGCCCTCCATCCCAAGCTCCCCATTTCTGTGTGTACCCACCCCCTCCCTAGTCTTTTCTTTTGAAGTATTTTATTTGGAATCTAGACTAGCCTTGCCCACTAGTAAGTAGATAAGCTTTAATTCCAGAGAACACACTCACTCATTCTAGGCGTCCCTGGGTGCCCTGGCGAAGAAGACCTCTAAGACCCACGGAGACAAGCTCGGCTCTGGGCATCAAGATGCTGCAGCCTGAGGAAGGAGACAGGCAGATAAGGGACAGTGACAGAGTGTGGCAGAAGCTCCAGCAGGTGGATCCGGAAGCTACAGCCAGGCAAGAGAGGTTGTTCTGGGTAGAGCTGAGGGACTGAGTTCCTCAAGGCAAATTCATTAAGGATAAAGCGGGCAGTGCAGAAGGACACTTGAGGCAGGAGATTTTTTTTTGTGTGTGTGTGTGTGTGTGTGTGTGTGTGTGTGTGTGTGTGTGTGTGTACAACAGGAACCAGCAACAGCCAATCCAGGCATCCTCGGGAGGGCATGACCGCATGTTCTGTGGAACAGAGCTGTGCCCAGAGCAAGGCTGAAAATGGAGAAGGAGGGTAGGGCTAAAGAGCCATAAGCAAGGGGGAGAGCTATACAAATCTGCATGTCAGAACCTCCTCATCTTCGCGCCGATGCCATCCCCTTGGAGGGTGATCCGCTCCACCAACAATGAGCACAAACTCACTGAGAAGCCAGGCTCTGCCTCTCCAGCCACTTTCTTACTGCCAAGGGCAGTTTCTCCCGCCCAAGCTGTCAGGCACCCTCTGCTCTGGCTGCCTATCTCCTGCAGCTCAGAGGAGGCTCAGGCACTGAAGCAAGCCCTGCTTTTTCGTTTCTAACGCTGCACTCTGTTTTTCTCTCCCTGACATTCTCATCTTCAACTCATGGCCCAGTAACGAATTTAGTAAATAAAATATAAGAGCTTCAGAGAATCTGTCCAGGAGGCTGGATGGGAGCGTGGTAAGGGATGTTACTCATCTCATAATCGCATTTTACAAATATGGTGACTGAGACAGAGAGGAAGCCTAATTGACTTGAATTAGATTCACATTCCTGCCATAACAGAAAACACCATGATTTTATTTTTCAATTCTGAGGTCACAGGCTGGAGAGCTGGCTCACTGGTTAAAGGCGCACACTGCTTTTCCAGAGAAAGAGCACCCGGCACCCACCGCATTCAAGTTAAAATCTCCTAAAACTGGATCTGAAACCTCTGCCTTCTGAAATCACCTGCACTCATGTGCACATAACACACACACACCTTAAAAATGATAAAAAAAAATAAGTCTTTAAAAATTATTCTTGCCAAGCTTAGTGGTGCCTTTGATCCCAGCACTTAGGATGCAGAGGCAGGCAAATCTCTGTGAGTTTGAGACCAGCCTGGTCTACATAGTGAGTTCCAGGACAGCCAGAGCTACATAATGAGACCCTGTCTCCAAAGACAGTCAGACAGACAATAGATAGATAGATAGATAGATAGATAGATAGATAGATAGATAGAGTAAAAAATAAAAGTTCTAAGGTGCAGTAGGGAGATGACTCAGTAGGTAAAAGTGCTCATGTCACTATGGCGCCATGCCTTCAGTTACCCAGAATCCTCGTGAAAGAACTAGGTATGGTAGTGTACACCTGTAACCCCAGCACTGTGGGTTAGATACGGGTGAATCTCAGGGGCTATCCAGCCTAGCAGAAATACCGAGCAGCAGGTTCGGTTAGAGATACTGTCTCAAAATAATAATTAATGATGATGATCGTGATATGGAGAGCAACTGAGGAAGACATCTTGACTTCAACCTCTGAGCTCCACAAGCTCCCACACAGGTAGAACATTCACACACACACCTTTCTAAAGTCAATTGTGAAATGGTCTTTCCTGGGCTTATAAAAACCAAAGCTGACAGCAAGGCTACACTGTATTGCTTTTGAAGGCTCTGCAGGAAAATCTCTGCCCCAGCTCTTTCCAGCTTCTAGAAGATGCATCCATCTTTTAGCTAGTGACTTCTGTCCCCTCTTTAACGTCAGCAGCATGATCTCTTTGCTTTCTTTCTCTGACTCTGGTCTCTGCCCCCTCTCACGAGGACCCCTCTGACTGCACTGATGGAACCTACACAATGCAGGTTGCTCTTTACCTCGGGATCCTTCCTGTGGCCCCATCTCTGTGGAGAGTCACAGGCTCGGGGTGCAGTGTTGCAGATGTGGAGCCGTTGTTCTTACCACAGGACCCCTTTACTGTTTGCTAGAGCTTCCCACCATCTCCAGGACCCCATGAGCATCGGCTTTCTCTGACCCACAGCTCTCTCTCTCTCTCCATGTTTGTTCTTTCAGAGGAAACGACGTTTGAAGCGGGAGTGAAGGTTCAGATCCACAGTCAGTCTGAACCACCTTTCATCCAAGAGCTGGGATTTGGGGTGGCTCCGGGGTTCCAGACCTTCGTGGCCACACAAGAGCAGAGGGTAAGTTCCCCATGCTCCCCAGATCAGGGGTCCTCGGGTTAGCCCAGCTACCTCAGAAGCATGTGGAGGACAAAGGAGATGCCCGCTTCTGGCTGGAACAAATGTCTTTCCCCAGAAATCAGGGAAGATGCTAACTTCTTCACCAGTTCTCCAGAACCTTCTGCTGACTCCTAAATCACCTGTGCAAGGAACATAACTTGCTCTTTTGTTCCACTGAATGGTTGAGTTTTCTTTTTTCCCCAGACATTATGCCACTCCTTTTTTATTATTTAATGTTTGCCTATGAACCTTAAAACAAACTGCTGAGCCAGGTTTCATAGCCTTATCATTTGTATTAATGAAATTCAAAGTGGCCTACAAAAGAAAAAGAACTCATCGCTCACTCTCCCTCCCCACTTAAGAAGTGTGAAGGCTTTTCTGTGAGCTTTCCCACCCACCCTTTGATGTAGTCCTGGGCAGAGCCCCACCCAGCCAGCGGGATCTGCGGAAAAGCAGGAGAGGGAAGGTACCATTCATGTCTAAAGTAGGTTTCACATCTCAGAAGGGAGACCTTCTCGGACTCTCAGTACAGAGGCAGTCTTGAAGCCAAATGGCAGAGAGATAAGCATGGCTTCTCTCTCCAACTTCCTGGATGTTTGTTGTCTGGTTTGCCTGGAATAAAGGAGATTCCCCAGCCAGACTGCCCAAGACAGTTTGCTGGTGAGGCAGAGTCGTGTGTGGTGGGCGGCAGAAATGATTACAGAGCATGAAGATATGACCACACGACTTAGCCCAGCATGCTGTTAGAGTTTGGTTCTGCTGTCATTTTTCACCTGGTACTGATTACAGCTCTTTAGCTACATTTTGAGTGACATTCTGAACTTAAAGCTGGTTTTAGATCCATCAGTAAATGCCTTATCTTTTTTAAGTCTCTAAGGAAATGTGAATGCTGCTGATCACATGCGTACCCTGTTCTGTGAATATGTCTGGGCAGTTGGTTAAGGCCAAGGTTAGCCTCTGCTGTAGCGTGTAGGAGTGGCATGGTGGCTTTGGGGCAGGAACACGGATTCTGGGAGGTTATCTACAGACCCCCAGAGAACAGAGAGTATTCCCGAGGACAAAGAAAGACTCAAGGTGGACAGCTGGACCATGTTTGGGGACTAAGGCTGTGACAATCAAGAAGGGTGAGAGTCTGGGTTGAGTGGCCATAAGCTTGGAATTTTACAGAGATCATTGGGATTTAGAGAAACAGTGAAGGAAAGGACTTGCGCAGTGTCAGAGAAGTGAAAAGTATAGAAACCCAAAGAGGGTGTGCCCTGTGTGAGAGGGTGCACTCCATGTGAGAGAGTGTGGTCCATGTGAGAAGGTGTGGCCCCCCCGTGCAAAAGGGTGGGAGCCATGTAAGAGGGCGTGGCCCGTGTGAGAGGGCGTGGCCTATGTGAGAGGGCGTGGCCCATGTGAGAGGGTGCGGTACATGTGAAACCCATCAAGCTGTGCTCCTGGAACTTATGGAATTGGGGATCCTAGAGCCTAGGAGACTAATCCCCATCAGTCCTCGGGTGTAGCTAAAATAAAGGGTTCATTCAGCCTTTTGCTTCTCCTGGGTGACCCTTTCAACCTAAAGTTGCCCTAAGGATATAGCCACGAGCTGTTGGAAACCATCAGTGTTCGTTCAAGCCTGCAGATGGAGAACCAGTGAAGAGGCTGGAATGTGGTCATGGAGAGCTCCCTCAGCATTCCTTTGTGCAGTGGGCACAAGCTCATGAGGCCTCAAGGAACCAAGCATGGGTTAGACCAATAGATGTGCCGGGGAATTCTGGGATGCCCAAGAGGATGTTTGTGACTTGTTCTCCAAGGCAAACCTGGCTCGGTGGTTTGCTGGATATGCCTACCACGGCTGGAGCAATAGCACTCTGGGGTCTACCTTGTTCCAGGTGCAGCTGTTCCTCGGCGCTTGCGAGGTTCCTTCGGTACCTTAGCTCTCCACAAAGTTGAAGAGGTGAGCATTCAAGGAGGCTGCTGTTGTTGAGCAGACTGAGAGACATGCTCATTCTCCCCTGCTCACCCTCTGTCCGTGACTTGGAGGAAAAAATTCTGGGCTGGGTGTGAAGTTGGAGCTAATGATTCCTCAGGAGCTTGAATCAGTGTTTCTCTTGCTAAGATGACACAGAGGGGCCTCCCCATGGTGAGAAGGATAAAGAAGAAAAACCTATTCACAGCATCCAAGGACAGAGTGGCTGTTTGTGCTGAAGGGTATTGGTGGCGAATTCAACCTCATTCATTTCAGTATTTCTCTGCTTATTACAGCTAATAATAAGATATTTGTTAAACATTTTACAGTCTTCAATGCATTTCCACATCATCTTGCTTCATCATTTCATTCATATTAATGGAGAAATACAAAAACACATCCCAGAGCTAAATCTAATAATACATTATGTTTACATGTATAGAATAGAGCATATTCACAGGAAATAAGACTTGAAGGAAATAAGCCAAAATACTCACAGTGGGGCAATTATGAATGATTCATTTTCTTTTCCAGCATTTTATGTCTTTTATAACCTGGCTTTGTTTTATTTATTTGTTCAGCAAATATTTGTTGAGTGGCTACTTGGGGAGAGGGGCAATAAGAGGGTGGGGAGGAGTAACAAGCCAAACAGACCAGGCCCAGTTTCTGCTCCAGTTTCTGTACAGGTGGGTGTTTGTTTTAACAACAGGGAAAAAAGAAAAATCTTGTTAAGCCACTTTAACTTGGTAATCAAGCCTCAGCTATACATTTTCTTTCTACCAAAGGGACCCTGGTGCTCAAGCACTGAATCTCATGGACGGCATGAGATCCAGATGACATTTTTCTTTCTCGTTTTGTCATTTCTGAAATGGGAGGTTTGTGTTGGGGGCTGATCGTGTCCCCCCACGACAACGGGAAGTGATCCTCTTTCTCGATGATAATTGTGTAAATAATCTGTGGCACACGGGGAAATACGGCAGCCACATCCCTCTCAAGCCAAGATTTCATCAACACAGAGTGCAAGGAAACCTTCAAGGAGGCCAGAGGTGGCGAGACAGTGTGGAACAGAGAGTCCATTCCTGGAAGGTCCGTAAGATTCACACTAGAAGGACTGACTCCAGAGCACAGGCCCTCAGAGGGTTTTGTGACTGGGAGGTGCCTGTGCTCTGAGTGGGAAAGTCCTCTCCTACAGTAAAAATCCTCCCACCCACACATAATTACACATATGCATTAGTATTTGTTTATTTATTTATATTTATAGCGTAATCACAAAAGAACATGCTCTTGGGCTAAATACCAAAGCGAAGATTGCTTTTCTAAATCTGCATTTGCCTTAAACCCAATTAAACAGAGGTAGGTCCCTGCCTAGAAAATGCTTCCTTGGATAGCTCGGCTCTCCAGGAGCCCCTGAAGTATCCTAGAGCCTCCACCACCAGAGTCAGACAGCGGGGTTATATCTGGAAGTGCACGCAGAACCCTGGTGACTGAGTAAACCTATATGAAAGCACCAAGCTATCAAACAATCTCCAGCACTAGCATCAAAGGCAGAATCCTTGTCAACAACTTCAGGCCTTTGCTAATTCTGCTGTGACTGACAAGCATGTTTTCCTATCAGAGGGCTAGCACCCTTCCTCTTTGCTTTGGTATTTAGCTGTGTTTCCAACATATGGAAGGAAAACCCTTGAGGTTCACGAGAAACATTATCTGTCCTCCTCCACTCCCGGAGAGAAGGGCCCAGCTGCTGGGTGGGAGGTGCCTACCTCTGGCTTTGTGACAGCTCTTCTCGAACTTCAGAATTCAACTTCCTAAGTGCCTTTCAAGAGAGAAGACTCATTTGTCAACCTGACAGCCAGCCCATGGTCTTAGTAACTGCTTCACAAGTCCCCATTAGAAATGGAGGCTTGCCCAGTTGTTGTTGTTTTGGTTTTTTTTTTTCCTTGTTTTTCAAAGCAATAGAGAGAATTTATTACACATGTCCTCCGTGACTTCCAAACCACCAAAGCTGGAGCCTAATAAACATGGCAGGATCCAGTTCCACTCCACTGGGCACTGGGAAAGTTCCAGAAAGAGAGACAGCTTGGTGTGAGGCTACTCCCTGTACATCCTGAGGGTACTCTGTTTCCCACAAGTAGACCTAAAAGAAGAATCAATTAAGCATCCACCAACTTAGCTACTTAATCACTATTACCATGCATCCCCCAAAGTAGAAATAGCTCTAGATTTTCCCCCAGGCTTTCAACATATTTTTTTTTTCCTATACAAAATGAGCTTGTTTTTCTCAACAAGTTAACAGCAAGGAATGAAGGAGGGGTGAGGAGGGTCTCTCAAAGGAATTGTCGATTAACTACGATGAGCTGGGTACCATGTCTGGTTGTGTTGGAAGACTCCCAAAAAGTAATATAAATTATGCTCATTTATGACAGATAAAATCTTGTGTGTGTGTGTGTGTGTGTGTGTGTGTGTGTGTGTGTGTGTGTGTGTGTAGGCGAGAGGTAATTTTGGATATCTTCCCCTGTCAATCTCCACCTTATTTTGAAGACAGGGTCCCTTACTGGACCTGAAACTCACTGATTGGCTAGGTTGGTGGGACACTGAACCCACAGGATCCTCTTGTCTCTGCCTCCCAGCACTAGGTTTACCAGCGTGGACCATAATGCCCAGCTTTTTACGTGGGTGCTGGGAATTCTGAACTCAGATGCTCATGCCTAAGCCCTGTCTCCAGCATCTACTCCTCAGTCTTTATCTCATCCCCATGTGGATGATGGCCATACCCTTTCTGTGACACTCCTGACCATTCTTGTCTTCTCTCTACCTTCTTGCCTCTTCATCAGTAATTCATGCTCTCCAGAATACCTACACTGGGGGGATGTTAGGTGTATCCCTAAGTGAGTTCACCCTCTGGCTAAATGTCTTCCCAGAACCCCAGACCCAATGATGCAATCGCAGTTCTTTACTGGAGTTCCGTGGGCATTACCCTAGGATTCCCGTAGCTATCTCATCAGAGTTCCCA